CAATCAGAGTCTCATCTCCCATTCCCTTTAAAAGCCAGTTGCACTCGTGCCATGGCGGATTCGCTATTTACATGGTGGAATTTGCAAGAGCAAAGACTGAACGCTTCTCCAGAAAGGAAATGGATCTGCTTGTGTGCAAGGTTAAAGCATGTGAGCAGACCATCTATGGGGCACAATAATAATATTTTACATTGTAATCCTTTCATTTTTAATATTTGGCATGTTGTGTGCTGCTGGTGTGTGTAATAAGCAAATACATTTGTTATTTAAACAACACCATTTTCAGGATGTGAAAATGATAACTGCGTCGGGCTGAAACTCGCAAAAACACTTGTGTCACGCCTGGTGCCGCATTGCACTGGGTGTATGATAGGGCCCATAGTCTCAGAATTCAGAATATCAACAGTGAAAAGGGATTGGGGAAAAAAGAGGTTTGTTAAGCATTAACAGTAGCAGTCTCATTCGTCCAGTGTTTAACCCACCCTCTACTTTTCTCATACTCAAAGATCCCTTATACAACAATTTTATCCATGATATTAAATTATCCTCAAAACGAAAACATTAAACATATACTGATGATGTACATGATCAAATACCTTTTCTTTGTCTAAAGATATAAGACCAACACTAGCGGTGTACATTCTTAAATATTCAAAAAATATTCCATCTTTTGGGAATACAATAGGTCTGATCTTCAAGAATAAAGGAACCTAAAACCTTCTTTCTTAAGTCACTTTGCAATACATTTAGACAATATCTTGTGATGTAAGTATGATGTTAGAACAGCAACAGGTTTCCAGTTTTTTTAAGTAAGCACAAATCTTCTTTTTTGGAAGAAGAGAAAGAAACGCCCTTTTTTCATAATTTTTGGCAGTATCTTTAATTTATAACTTTCTTCTAGAACTTTAAAGAAATCTTGTCCAATTATTCCCCAAAAAGGTTTTTAAAATTCTGCTGTAAGTCCATCAAGGTCTGGCTATTAAGTTACAATGAATTATATATTTCCCATAGTTATAATGTATTATATGTCTTATATCTTGCCATTGTTTAAGATCTTCACAATAACTTAGTACATGTTATTAGTTTTTACTGTAAAGTGACAAATACAAAGTCTTCATGAAAACATCCAAAAGGCTTTATAATGTGGTCTTATTATTTATAAGTGGTCTTTGCCTGCTTACAAAGACCACTTCCCGGACAGCACACGTACGTCTGGCCGACGTCGGCCCAAGAGTGAAACGATTATTAATGTAATGTTTTAACTCTAGATGTTTATTTGTGTAAATGCTGTGAGTGCGCTGAGCTCTGCACGAGCTGGGAGCAGAGGTGAATTGTTTTCACTGCACTCAGGTACAGTGGGGCAAAAAAGTATTTAGTCAGCCAACAATTGTGCAAGTTCTCCCACTTAAAAAGATGAGAGAGGCCTGTAATTTTCATCATAGGTATACCTCAACTATGAGAGACAAAATGAGAAAAAAAATCTCCAGAAAATCACATTGTAGGATTTTTAAAGAATTAATTGGTAAATTCCTCGGTAAAATAAGTATTTGGTCACCTACAAACAAGCAAGATTTCTGGCTCTCACAGACCTGTAACAACTTCTTTAAGAGGCTCCTCTGTCCTCCACACGTTACCTGTATTAATGG